CCATATTAGGACTTAATCTAGGTTTGGTGAAGATAATGGACTTTGCAAGGTTTGGCTCAAATGGGGCATTCCATTCGCGTAATATCGGATTTAAAAATATTGAAAATTTTGACCATTTGTGGCGGAGGTACCTGAAGGAGTGGACCAATGGGTCCCATATTCGGACTTAATCTAGGTTTGGTGAAGATAATAGTTCGTTGAAATCGGATAATCCGTTCGAATGATATTATAAAATTAGTTTTTCGTACAATTTTGATCGCTTTGAGGGGGGACATATCAGAAGGAGTGGACCGAGATTCCTTATATTTCAACTTGAACTATGTTTGGAAAAAATATTACGATGTGCAAAGGAACATTTTGAAAAGCTTCTGTTATCAAATAGTAGCGGTAAAGAGGATATCCCAGAACCAATAATGACGGTATAGAGTGTATACCACCTAGCAAAGATGCTAAATATTACGTTGAGTGGTGAAGCACCTCAAACGATGACCAAACCGAGACTATTTGCCAGAAAGGTTCTGCTATGCATTTGGTGGGACTGGAAGGAAATTATTTAATATGAGTTGCTTCCATATAGCCAAACGCTAAACTCTGATCTCTATTTTCAACAACTAGGCCGTTTGAAGATATCAATTGACTAGAAGCGGTCAGAATTGGGCAACAGGAGAGGTATTGTGTTCCACTAGGATAACGCTAGGCCACACACATGTACAGTGACCCGCCAGAAACTTCGGGAGCTTGGTTGGGAAGTTTTTATGCATCCACCATACAGTCTGGACATGTAACCAATCGATTATCTTCTTCTTATTGCATTGCAAAATGTCTTTAATGAAGTTGCATGAACCGACTCCAAATCGTCTGAAGCAGATTTGGTCCAATGATTTTGTGGGAAGATTTTCTAAGCAGATTCACCCACAACCTATAGGCTAAAGGATATTCCCAATATATATTCTATATTCGCCTCAATTCAGGTAAAACTCTCAACGTACTTTTTTACAAATAAATAATGTTCAATTAAATTCAACGATATTTGATTTTAATATTTTCAAAAGCATGCCTATTAAACTTCAAATTAAATTTTAAATACAAAATACTACGTGCTGACTTAACTAAATCTCAAAAAATTGTCCTTTTGAACTTTACACGACTTTTGCATTTTTCAAATATTCAATCATAAAAAAGATTTTTATTAAAACCAAGCGTGTGAGTGCCTTTGACTTAGTCAGGCGGTCGCACACGCATACGACCAACACACTTTTGCAAACTACGAAGCAAATAATAAAAAAAACGTCGGATGAAAAACGTGCAACCACTTGAATTTTTGGAATTTCTATTTGTTTCTAACCCCCACCCCCTCATTTCTCCTCATACCAATTACTTGGGTAAAGTTATTCCTGGCGTCCTGATCAAAATCCTTCGTTCAGAGTTTTTATTTGCTGGTCCATGACCACGAAAGGTCAATAGATATATACAGAGAAAGAAAAGTTATTTGCTTTTTAGTATTGTTGTTGTTGCTGCTGCTGCTACTGCGTTGCTTTGTTGTGTCCTCCTTGTTGCTATCCTCCTCCTACTGGTTGTGGGTAGCGGTTAATAAACTGACTTTGTGAAGATTAAATTGAATATGGCCGACAATTCAAGTGGATTTTGTTTTTTACCCATTAGACAGACCGACAGACGGACAGACTTTGGGTAAATAGAGACGCAGAGAATCGTTTGGTATCTGGTTTCAGAAAAATCAATGTTAACCAATCTCCCATTTTACTTTGCCGTAAAACTTTGTGTAGAAAAAAAACAAACGTTTGTGAAAATTGGAAAGGTAAAGTTAAACACTCACACATACACACGCATATATGATATTCAAACCACACACATATAGAATTTCAAGTGATTTTGATTTATGAAAATTGTTGATTAGTTCGAACAAAAAAAAAAAAAAAAAAAAAAAAAAAAAATCAAAGAAACTTATTGGATTCTCCTTCCACACTGCTTTGTGTTCAATGCATCGAAAAACTTTTACACAATTGTCTGTTATTATTACAGAAAAAGGGATCAAAGTTCATTTATTTGTGGTCTATAAACTTATGGATAGTTTATTTTTATTTATTTATGGTAGTATCTTTTAAATTGTTTATCCAAAAGCATTCACTTTAATTAAGGCTAGGGGAAAGTGTGAAATAATTAGTCGTTTTAGATAAATTAACTTATTTAACTTTATAAGAGAAGGAACTTGCCATGGATGGCAAGTGAGGTTAGATATTTTTTTGGAAATAAATTCTCAAATCGCTGAGAATAGATTCTTATTTTATGGCAAGGCCTATTTTTGGAAGCCCTAAAAAAGGGAGAATTAAAAAAATGTTTTGCAGGCTTAATAAAAACAATTCCATTACTCTGATATTGTATTTATAAATATTAAAAATTTTGACCCTCTGTGGGAGAGGTACCATAAGGAGTGGACAAATGGGTCCCATCTTCCTTCTTGATCTAGACTTGGTAAAGATAAAAGTTTCGTTAAAATCGGATAGACCGTTTGCATGTTATTATAAAACTAATTTTTAGCACAATTTTGACCATTCTGGGGGAGGTACTAGAAGGAGGTTACCGATATTTCCCATCATCGAACTTTAAGTAAGTTTGGAAGCATTACTAAGATGTGCAATGTTTGGATGAAATCGATTATTTCCATCGAGAACTATCGTGCGCACCAGACGGCCAGACAGACAGACGACGGACATGTGTAAATCGACAGGGGGTCTAAAACCAATATTTCGATGAGGCACATTTTAACCGTATCAAAGTGTATACCCTCATTAGCCATAAGGTGTATACCCTCATTAGCCATAAGGCTGAGGGTATAAAAATAAACAGGCCTGGATTTTTTAAATGAATATTTAATAAATCATACTTTTTAACACCTCAAATAGAACAATATTTTTTTCAGACCTCAAAATTAAAAAAAAAAATAAGATAGGACTGGATTAAAAACAAATTAAGATAGGCGTGAAATTTTTAAGAAATATATTGTTTAAGGTCTCAAATAGGATTGGATTAAAAAAAACTATCTAAGCCCTTAAATATGGCTTGATTAAAAAAATAAAAAAAAAATATTTTATTGAGATTTCAAATAGGAGTTTTTGAATAAAAATATTTTTTAGGCGTCAATTTAAATGAAACTATTTTAAAAAGACCTCAAAAAGGCGTGGACTTTTTAACAAATAATTTTTAAAGACCTGAAATTGGCTTTGACTTAAAAAACATATTTTTTAAACATCAAATAAGCATGAACTTAAACAAAAATTATATTTATTAAGACATGAAAAAGGATTGGGCTATAACAAAGTATTTTTCGAAACCCTCAAATATGCCTGTATTTTTTAAAAACATATTTTTTTAAGACTTCAAGACCCCAAGTAGATCTGGATTTTTTAAAAATACATTTTTAACACCTCAAACATGTCACAATTTTTTAACAAAATATTTTTAAAGCCTCAAATAGTCCTGGATTTAAAAACCTATGTTTTCAAAGCCTTAAATAGGCCTGGATTTCAAAACCTATGTTTCGAAAGGCCTCAAAAAGGCCTAGATTTAAAAAAAAAATTCTACTCCTCAAATAGGCCTGGAATTTTGGACTTGATCTAGAACTTGTAAAGATATTATGATGTGCGAACGCTTCATATGAGATTTACAAGTTTTACAATATTGACCCTTTGACCCCCCACAAGAAAGTGTTGGTCGATAAATCCCATTTCAAATCGGATAGTCCGTTCGCAAGATATTATAAAATAAAATTTCTACGGAATTTTGTCCATTTTGTGGGGGTAACAGAAGGAGTGAGCCGACGGGCTGAGGGTATAAAAAACATCCTTTATATCCTGCCATACCCTTTAAGCATTGTATTACAGTTCCTTCCCATTTTGATTGATTTTTGTGTGTAAAACCAACTCATGTTTAAACTCTATTGAAAATGCAATATCAATAAAAACGAAATAAAATGTTTGCCGACTCTTAATAGACTTCGCAAATATTTTGTTATTGAAATATGCAAAAAGGTCAAAAATAAATAAAAACAACAAAGTCAATAAAAGAAAACAGAGCATACCATTTATGTCGGAAAATAAAATGAAATAAAAATATTTTTTAATAAAATCTGTAATGCAGATTTATGCTACAGTGGGATAAATTCGAAGTAGATCTATGGAAAACTGATATTTATATGACTACTGGTGAGTAGAGTAGTACAGAAATTGAAATTAAAGAGGGTACAGGATTTCATCCAAATTGTGTACATCTTAATATTTATATAAAGCGAATTACAAGTGGGTAGATGACCTACGTCCTTCACTCCTGTTTCCTTAGGGTGATGATGAGGGACGTATATATGCGGTTTATTGATCAATTAATATTTTCACTTAATCATTAGAATTAAAGACGTTTCCTATGTTTTTGAGCATCACACAGTCATAGACTGAATTCGAATTGTTCCTCTATGTTAACCTTTTTCAAATTTTCGAGTATTTTTTTTTTGGCAATTTTTATTTTTTGCAGGAAAAAATGAAATGGCAAAAAATACAACCATTTCATTTTTTCCTGCAAAACAAAACACACACAAAAAAACTTAACATCGAAATGTTTGCACATCGATATTTAAACCCCACTTGAGTTTTGCTTCATTGCTTTCATGATGAAGTACTTCATCGTCATGGGATATCTGTGTGCGTATGTAACGTAACTACCTACATATGCCCTTCTCTTCGCTTCGCTGATTGATGAATGTCTATACATATAGCCCGCCTTTGCATTTATTTGCTTTAAATGCCGTTGGAAGGTAACGCAGCAGGAGTAGCTACACACACATGCGGGAGATCTCCTGCCTACCTCAATTGCAGTTTGCAAAAAAACAAAACAAAAAATCGTTAAACGTGAAAAAGTGAGATTCCACTTGAATGCTTTAATGAGCGATCAAGAAAAATTTTATAATGAATGAATGATGGATGAATTTCAACGGTTGGATGCATTGCCGTCATCACGACGACGACCACCACCATCATCATCATCGGCAGCAGCGGTATTGTCGTCAACTTGGAATACAAAAAGAAAAAAATTGAAGAACAAACACGGCAGCAGCAACAGCATCTTCATATCAAAAATCCATGACTGAGTCTTATGTTTTAAGAATGCCAAGGATTCTTTCCATTTTGTTGTTGGGGTTTTTCTTCCTTTGCTTACCGTGGAGTGAGAAATAAAAAGTGAAGTGAACAGGAATTACGTGAGTTTGCATGAATTGTCAAAAGTAAATAAAATTGTATTCTTCAACTCCCAAGAAGTATGCAAATAAATCTTAAAATATATGCTTTGTTGTTTGTTGTGTGTACTCACTCGTATTTGTTGAAGATTTTTGTTCAGCATTTTTCGTTTTGTTTTTTAAAAAGTTAATCAAATACTGAGAGAGGAAGAAATATGAAGTTTGATAAAGAGAAATGAAATGTGAAATAAAAATATAGGATTTATAGTGAAAGAATGACACATGCCCATATCACAAGGAATCAAATCCGATTATTTTTCATAAAACTGAGAGATAAAATATTGCAACCATGGTTAATACATAAATCATAACATCGATGTTTAAGGTGATCTCTCTATGTGATATATCATGGTAAATTGCTACTAGAAGAAAATGTAACTCAGTCCATGACCTTGAATATACCTATAATAATCCCATAATGTCAGCCACTTCTTAATGCAAAAATAGGGTCACTTCGGGAAATGCCCCTAAACCATCAAATGACTATAAAACGACAGGACCTTTTTGGGAGTTTTGTATAGTGATTTTCCAACAATGAGAACAAAATCTACCAAATTAATGTCAATTCGGTTGGAAACGTGCTCAAAATAACTAATAATATTCGATGGCCTTAATTAGCGGTTACAGCGAAACATTTTTTTCATTTTTTAAATGCGAACAAAAAAAAAAACTTCATGTTAGAGACATGAGACACCTATAGTGTCATATTCCAATCGATTCGTATTGGGGAGCCCATTAAGGATATTGAGTGACCTTGAGAAAACACTCTCAGTTCCCATGTTAAGGCTTATTATTCAACGGAAAAAATTAACGTCGATTTTTAACTGTTAAAAATTATTGTTATTTTTCCCGCTAAAAATAAAAGTCTCTTAAGGATTTATCAAAAGACAGTAGCCTTAGTTGCAACTTTCCGCATTCCGTTCACCAAAGTCCAAATTTTACCAAATTCAGTACTTTTCAAATCCATAAGTACGAATTTTCAAAACTAACTCAGTCAAACACTCCAATAATAATCTTAAGTCCACATTTAAATATTCCAGCACTATCCGTTTACCAATATCCAAAATCTACCTAATTAAGTACATTTTTTACTTTTTTCCAAAACTTCCTCAATTCCACACGACAACAGTAATTTTAATCATAAATTTCAGGATCCCAGCCCTATCCATTCACATATATTCAAATTGTAGAATATTTAGTACCATTTAGTTCTTTTCGTACTTATAAGTTCGAAACTTATATTTGGAATTTAAAAGTATTTTAATTCCGAACATAACTTTTCCATCTCTATTCGTTCTCTCAAATATAAATTGTACAAAATTTAGTACCCATTTAATACACATAATTACGAATTTTCAAAACTACCTCCATGTCTCAATCCTACAATCCAACCGTTATTGAAATTCCAAATTTTAAGATTCCCATTCTTAGTAACATTTTGTGATTTTCGTATCCATAAGCATATCCTTAATCCTTTAGTTCTATTACAAAATTTAAGTTTTCAATCTCTATCCGGTCACTTAAATCTAAATTGTACTAAATTTAATACCAATTTGTACCCATAATTAGGGATTTTCAAAACTGCTTCTATATCTTAATGCTGCACTGCAACATTAATTTTAATTCCAAATTTCAGCACTATCCGTTCACACAAAATCAAAATGTACCATTTGGAAATTTCGTGCCAAAAAAGAACTGTTTCGTCCAAAATTCTGGAGTCCAGTTCACAAATAATCATGTTATACTATAGTACCATTTAGTACACATAATAACTATACTCCCATATGTCAATTCCACACCCCAACAGCAACCATTATTAAAAATTTTTGGTTTCCAGCACTCTCCGTCCACACAAATGCATATTGTACCAAATCTAGTGCCGTTTAGTACTTTTCGTATACATAAATACGAATTTCCAAAGCTGTCTCTATAGCTCAATCTCTAATTTAATTTACAGGTTTTCGGCTCTAACCGTTCACCCAAAATCCAAATTGTAATAAATTGTGTACAATTTAGTACCCATATGTACGAATTTTCTAAACTACCCCAATCCTACACTCCAACAGTCATTTTAATTCCAAATTTCAAGATTTCAGCTCTATACGTTCACCAAAATTCAACCTGTACCAAATAGCTATAGCTCAATCTTCAACAGTAATCGTAATTTTAATTTTCAGGCTTTCTGCTCTAACCGTTCACCCAAAATCCAAATTGTAATAAATTTAGTACCATTTAGCACATTTCGTACCCATAAGTACAAATTTTCGAAACCACAACAATCCTACACTACAACAGTCATTTTAATTCCAAAATTTCAAGATTCCAGCTCTATACATGCACCTAAATCCAACTGTACCAAATTTAGTCCCATTTAGTACTTTTCGTGCACATAAGTACGAATTTCCTAAAGTATATTAATCCTGTACTCCAATAGTAATCCTAATTCGTATTTTCAGGATTCCATCTCTATATGCTCAACCAAATGCAAATAGTTCCGAATTTAGTACCATTTCGTACTTTTCATATACATAAGTACGAATTTCTTAAACCATTTCCATACCACTTCCCAACCTGCATTTCATATACAATTTCAACATTCTAGCTATATATGTTGAATATGTATACACTTATAGGTCGAATTTCCAAAACCCCTCTCTAACATGCCATCTATGGCCCACATTCCAAATTTAGTACATAAACAATATATATATAATCATATATATATATATGTTTTACTTGATTTCTTCTCCATTAAACTTTAAATCAACCACTGAAGAGTTAAAATAAAAAGTAAATTCTAAAAAAAAAATATCTATATACAATTGATTTTAAATTACTTTTGGCTTTGGAATTGTTTTGTGTCATCGCAAATATTTATTTATGAGGAGGTTTTATCTCACAGATGCATAGACAAACAGAAATAAATGTAAATGGCAAAGCAAACACAACAAGCAAACACACAGCCAGTCACAGCCAACAACAAATACTACAACAATAAAAACAATATCTATCAGTAATAACAACAATAATATATTTGTCTGACAGCTTAATAGATTTTTATTGAATATTTTTCAAAAATTTTAAGACAACAATAAATGGGAGTTTTATGTCAACAACTATTAAATTGTAAAAACACACAGACATTTGAGTTTAAATGCTCCCCAAAGTATGCAATGAATTAAGATGAATGTAAACAATGTAGAAAATAGGCAATGAAAGGATAATGAAACGCATACACACGTGTGTGTGTAATTATGGCTCAAGGGTAGTAATAAAAGTTAAGTATATATAACATTTTAAGTATAAACTTTAAAATCTAATATCAAATCTTTAAAGTGTGAAATGTTGTTTTAAATTTTATGGAAAAATTGCATGTCAATCATATTTTTTTAATTATACCTTTTAACAATTGTTGTAAATCCCTTCCTATTTTTCTCAACAACATACCATTTTTTTTTTCGTTGTTTGTAAGTAAAAGCTAATCACATTTTGTGCGGAGACCAATGGCATGAATGCACCTGAATGCCGGATGGCGTCAGTGAATGTAACACGAAGGCAATGCGTGCACGTGTATGTTTCCGATATAAATGTCTAGACGTCATTTAAGCTTTTGCTAGGAAGTTATTGTTAAGTAGCGCATAAGAGGCACAGCATATGGTATAACATTTCAAATAGCTAATAGGCTTATATGCGCCAGGAATTTAGAGGAAAGGGAGAGAATGTGCAAAGAAATGACATTATAGAAGACTAATATGTGTATGTAACAAAATAAATCATATGAACATAAATATGTATGTGTATGTAGGGAGACCTAAAAATATGCTATGGATTTTAATTTTGTTTTGCAATAAAAATACGATTTCAAAATATAGATTTTAACTCTAAAACAAGTAATAAGGGTCTGAATATAGCCGATAGTTGCAAACACTTCGATGGTTAGAATATATGTATATGCTTCTGTTACCAAATAGTTGACCCTCTGTGCGGAGGTATCAGAAGAAGTGGAACAGTAGAGCCTGTTTTTAGGTTTAATTGTAGGTCTGGTAAAATCATGACGATGTGCTCTTCAATTAATCAAATTGGATACTGTATCCGCTTGATATTGAATTTACACATTTGAAATTAGATATGATTTATATATTTTCAAAAATTTGATACTTTGTGGGGGAGGTACTTGAAGGAGAGGACCGATAAATCACATCTTCGAATTTGACTTATGTTTGCAATTTTTTGGATGAAATCGGTTACTCTCTTACAGAGTTATCGTGACATACAGACAGACATACAAACTTTTGTATATCAACTTGTAAATCGACTCAAAATTATCTGAAACGGTCAAAGGAACCAGGGGTCTAAAACCAAAATTTCGATAACAAAATTTGCCGTAGGAAAGTTAGGGAAGATCTTCAACAGAGAAGTCGTGTGGAATGTCTTTTGTCTACTGATGTTCAGAGTAGTTTTTAAGTCTATAAATTATGTTGGAAGGTATGTTGCCTATTTAAGAATTCAGATCATTAATCTATAAAATACCTTTTCAGCTCAATGTCAAAAGTCTTCGGTGTGAAGAAGGGCCATTGAATCATCTTCTGCCTATGACAAACTTAAACGTTATTTTACTTACTTTCATTTTATTTACTTTCAAAAAGGTTTATTTTTATAGACCAACGATAAACGGTAGAATATTTTTAATAAATCTTCTAAAATGTCTATAGAGTACCAGTGAAGATATTAGTTTTAAGGAAGACAGGAGAATACCTTATGTCTATGGAAGAACTCAGCTGGTCTTCTGAATCATTTGTTTTTTTTTTCTATAGAAGACACAGGTCTTTCTCAAAAGGTTTTGCTATATCTACAGAAACCTAAGAATCATAGGTATAGGTATATAGAGCCTTCTGTTTATAGAGCCTTCTGACTGTAGGAGACCATTTAAAGGTATTTCGACTATGGCAGGCCTGATAATGTCTTCAGTTTTAAAAATATCTGCCGAATGTCTTCTGTATACTAATCTATTGGGAAATGTTCTCTGGATAACAGATATTTGACAGCATATTCTCCTTTCACGATCAACAAAAGGTACTCAGTCTATAGATATTATAAAGAAGTCTAATGTCTCAAAATTTTCGTCTGTCCACATTTACAGGAGACCTGAGAAAATCTTGCGTCTAAAGAAGACCTTACGTCTTTCTGAAAAGGTATTTTCCAATAGCAGATCTGAAATGACCATCTACTAACAGAATCCTAAATGGGGTCCTTTCCATATATAGAAATTTTTAAAGGTCTTTTTTCCCCCTTGGTTACCCTGAATTTTTTAAAGAAGGAGTCAGTCAGTCCTATTAAGTTTTTCTTATATATCTGTAAAAAAATCTTAAGAAAGCTCCTGTCTGTAGAAAAGCTGAAAATATTTAGTGTAGAGACGGCCTGATGGCCGACTTACGCATATTTCTATCAGTGAAGCCCCGATAAGATATTCTCTTTATATACGACCTTAGAAGATGTTCTGTCTATACAAGGTCTACGTATCTTCCTACAGATTAACTGAAAAGATCCTTTGAATATGGTAGGCCTTAAAAGATCTATAGAATATGGCAGACAAAATTCTGTCTATAAAAGGCCTGAGAAGGCCTATAGCTGATAGTAAAATGGACCTAAGGAATTCTATAGTAAACATATATAGACTGAAGGTATTTTTACTATATATATCTATCAATAGTAGACTAGGGAAGACTAGCCTTAAATATAAAGGAGAGATTTAACAGACCTTATGAGGGTAGAAAATCTATATATGAGCTTTCAAAGAGGTTTCTGTTTATCGAAGTCCTATAAAAATGCATTTGTCGGTAGGAAACCCAAGAGAAATATTTTGTCCAAAAATGAAGAACTCGTGTCCACAGTATTTTCAATAGGGAAGCTGTAAAAAGACTGCGGTCCATGAAAGATCTGAAAAATCAATTCTGTGTACAAAAGACCTGCAAAATATAATCAAAGATTACTATTTTATAGAATTAAACTGACAGGAACTGACACTTTATTATCCGAAGATTGACGTTTTCATAGATTGAATGGAAAAACTAACCACACGCTATTATATGCAAAAATATATAAAACCCAAAAAATAAAGCACCGACTATCTTAAACCATATCAAATTCGAAGACAAAAAATTGTGATACACTTTATTTTAAAAAAACATTAGCCACCGGTCAAGGTGGTAATATGAAAAGTCGTTAAATTTTGTGGCTTAATCTTATGAAAACTCGCTGCAGCAACAGCAGCCGTATTCGTTACACTTAAAAAACACATTTTCCAACATTACCAGCCATTTGTTGCAACAGCTAGCTACTGCAGCTATGCTTTGCTATCTATCACAAATTTCAAATTTTGACATGGATTTTCTGCTCGAGATAAAATTAGTCGTTGTCTTTTCGAATTCGGTGTTAGTGGACACCATCGTCTCGCGAGCTCTCCGAAAAAAGTGAATGTCAGCAAAACTGTCAGTCGGAATATTTGTTTGATGGTTGTTGCTGCTGCATCTACATTTACTAGTAGTGGCAACTTGCTGTTGCAGCAGCACCTGACTATTAGACACCACCTAAGAGCAAGCATTCATTCAATTCGATGCAGATCGAAATGATTTGCCATGGAAACAGGTTAGGTGGCGCTGCCAAAATTTACGACAGGCCATGTCATGCAATTTAATACCATTATGTGTTGCACTCACGGGTTTTTGTTGTTGTTGTATGCAACATTAAGCCATTGTCCGTTTATTTGTAATGCCATAATATTTTGAAGGTAATTCAAACACATTCGGATTTGATGTTGATTCCAATTGACGTTAGTTTTGTTGTTTGACAGTTCGGTTACAATGGCAAGTGAGTGGTAATTCGTCTATTGGGGCATATCTTATATTTGGAGATTTTCGTTAGTTAATTAATAGTTTGTTGGTGTTATTCGTGTGCATTGTGCTTTTGTTAGAGATTAATTAAATTGATAGTTTTTAGAAGCCATGTGAGAATTACTTGAAAGACAGCTGTCAATTTATATAAAGAATAGACCTTTAACATAAGTTTTATTAAGTAATTTGTTTGTTTTAATAAAAATATTTTTACAGACAAAACTCAAACATTTTTTTCGCCGACATGAGAGCGTCGGCAGATAACGGGATTCTCAATGTAATATGTTCTCACTTTTCCCACTGGGATATTACTTTGCACAAAGAGCTTATTTATTTGTGTTATGTAAAGAAGGCAATGATCCTGTAAGTGTGTTCATGGTTGTCGTTTTATATTATATTTTTATAATGTCCTTCAATATTCCTCTGAGACCCCATAGAAAAAGATCAGAATGTTGTAGCTAAAATCTTGAAATTTTAAGATTTTTGGTATGGGGTATATAACGGTCCACATTTTGCAATCTCCCCTATATAATGTTACAGCACAATTTTCGGTGACCACGTAAAACGTTCTACTCATATTCGGTATGTCGGAGGTCCTAGCAAAATTTTTCCACCAAAATGGATGTAATTTGGAGTTAGAAACATTTTTGACATAGTCTGCATATAAAGCTCCAGCCTTATCCCATTTTTTGGTATTATTAAGTTTTGTTTCCTTTTTACTCACTTTAATTTGGCATTCTGGATTTTTGGAGAGTAAAATATATATTCTGAAAAATTTCGGAGAGTTATATGAAAACATACATATTTTCATATAACTCTCCATAGAAAGGTACCACTCCATTGTCGATATTTTGATTTTTTAGAGGCTGACATGAAAAAATTTATCAATATCGGTCTACGTTTTTACACATTAAGTTCCCGCGTCATCTCGGTATTTCCAAGCTTATATAAACATTTTCCAAACAAAATGGCTTTAATTTGGCATTGTGGGTTTTTGGAGGGTGAAACATATTTGTCGCTTTTTTGCGAGTTTCCCCACCGGAGGAAACTCGGCATTGCGAGTTTTTGAAACGTGAAAAACATCTTTGGTCCCATATAAACAATGATCTGCACCATTTTCGATGTTTTGCAGGTTTTAGCTGTATTACTTTTTTCATTGTGTATTCCGCAAAATATAAAGTGGCAATGCGAAGGGATTAGGGAGAGTTTTTATTTCCTCATAATAATGGCACGAGAAAGCCTCACGAAGAACCTATGGATGTTTGGTCCACCGTAGCTGAATAGAAGCAGTTATATAGCAAATCCATCTTCTTGTCGGTAGATGTGAAAAAGGATTATTTTAATAACACTCAAACAAGTGTCTATATAAGTTCTCAGGATCCCGTGGAGAACTTGGAAGAAAAGGCAAGAAAAATAGCATGGTATCTCAGTACTTTTTTTCTCAGCTCTAACAAAGTGTTGGATATCAGTTCAATGATCACGCAATTGGAAACTGAGTTAAGTCTGGAGCCCGTGGATACGGACAGCGAAGACGAAAGTGATACCCCGGATACCGGATATATTGCTGTCAAACTTAAAGCATATGACCTAGACCATTTACATGAAAAATATCCTCACTTTGATGTCAAATCATTTTTGGCAACTGCCCTCAACACCACCATCTCCCAACTACCCAAACATGTTCTCATCTATTATGAACACACTTTTTCAAATATTTAGCAATTGGTCGAATCGACGGATAAGGATATTCTAAAGGATTATCTGCTGTGGCAATTAAATTAGGAGTTTTTGGTTGTCACCTAGAACATGAAACCAGATGATCGTGGGAAGTTTTGCACCAAACAGGCGAAAAAATATTTTGATGAACATGTAGATCATGTCGTTTATGGGGAATATCAGTTGGACATCTTCGAACAGGAGTTACTCGAACTATGGCAACAAATAAGGTCAAGAAATAAGGCCCTGGATGACGGAATCCGTGAAAGCGAATGCCCTCAATAAATTAAACAATATGAAATTCCGAACTAATTCCTACGATCACATCGATTTCCCCAAATATGTTGAACATATACAAAATATTCTACTCAATCGTCAGATACAGGTGACAAATAAACTGCAAGCTGTAGCCGAGTCATTGGATACCACACTATTGTTCTCCTTCACCCGGTCTATATAAGTTCCCAAAACATCATAATAATCCCCCGTCAGCTCCTTGCAGCCGTTCTACTTTTCGCATCCCCTCTATCCGAAAACCATTAAATTTGCCACTTTGAGCAATCCCGTGGCCCATGAAATGATTCATGGTTTCGATGATAAAGGGCGGCGATATAATAATTAATTGTTTATTAATTAGCAGACAATTTGCAATTACATATTATCCATATAATGATTACCGTAATTTTTAGAAATTTTGAATGCACTCTACATGGTAAAGGATGTAAAACGACACAGCCGATTTGAACGACCGCATATCTTCCTCCATGTTATGAAATAATCCATCGACATTTTATTTGAAAAAAATAATTTTTATTTGAATTGATCTGACAAAAATTCGGGAGTTGAAAATTCGAATTCTTAACAACCGTACGCCCTCGAAACAACAACATTGAAATGGTAGAAATTTGGTAGTTGCTATTGATAATCCGTTTTTAAGATAGTCAATGAAAATTTTCTCTTTCTCAAAGTACAGACGTTATATCCTTGAAAGCGGAACATTGACGTAACCTTTTCATCAACAATTCCGAGTGGCGGGATTTCCTTCTATGTTACATGGTCTTTCACTTTTCAATTTAAACTAATCTTACCAAAAGATTAATATATAAACTTCCTCCCGTTACAATACATATCAAAATCTCTTCACTTCGGTCATTTGTCTAAAGGAACATAAATATTATAAACGAAAAATTATTTTAAATTGCATTTCATGTTAAAACTATTATCATTAATAAAGTTAAGTTTTACGCTAAGAGTGTCTGCCAAAAAGTTTCTAGTAGAAACAACAAAAGTTGATTTGAACTTTGTTAACCCATAAACGACCACAACACATTTTATAAAATTCTTAACAAGCGATCTCTCATGACCTTACACCATTTGAAATGTAAGTTCGTGAGGAAGCAGCAACAGCTTTGTAAATAGGCCTTAAGAGAGTCCTAAAAACGAATTTTATTGATGCCTGTTAAGGGTTAATTCAGGGTCATAGCATAAATCCATTAACTTTTATTACACACTCTGTTAACATTGACTTTCGCCACAAAATTTAATAGATTCGAGTTAAGAAATTTAGTTTTAAAAGTTTCATAAACTACAAAAAATAAAAAAGATTGCGTGATTCTAACACACACACACACATTGTTAAAGACTAACGCCCATTTGAGGGAAATCAAATCAATTATGTCCTTTGTTAGTGTAGAATTTCCATACTACAACAAATACCAGCAAATGGACAATAGGAAACCACGTTTATTTGGCACAAGAAATTTTCTTAAATAGCTCTAGTTTATAAAATTGGAAACCGGATGATATATAATTTTATAGCAATTACCCATAGA